GATTGAAAGCTAGTATGTTGACAATTTAGCTGAACTGAAAGCTAGTATGTTGACAATTTAGCTGAATTGAAAGCTAGTATGTTGACAATTTAGCTGAACTGAAAGCTAGCATGTTGACAATTTAGCTGAACTGAAAGTTAGTATGTTGACAATTTAACTGTTTAGAAAGTTAGTATGCTGACAATTTAGCTGAATTGAAAGCTAGCATGTTGACAATTTAGCTGAACTGAAAGTTAGCATGTTGACAATTTAACTGTTTAGAAAGTTAGTATGCTGACAATTTAGCTGAATTGAAAGCTAGTATGTTGACAATTTAGCTGAACTGAAAGCTAGTATGTTGACAATTTAGCTGAATTGAAAGCTAGTATGTTGACAATTTAGCTGAACTGAAAGCTAGTATGTTGACAATTTAGCTGAATTGAAAGCTAGTATGTTGACAATTTAGCTGAATTGAAAGCTAGTATGTTGACAATTTAGCTGAATTAAAAGCTAGTATGTTGACATATTAACTGTTTTGAAAGTTAGTATGCTGACAATTTAGCTGAACTGAAAGCTAGCATGTTGACAATTTAGCTGAACTGAAAGTTAGTATGTTGACAATTTAGCTGAACTGAAAGTTAGTATGCTGACAATTTAGCTGAACTGAAAGTTAGTATGCTGACAATTTAGCTGAATTGAAAGCTAGTATGTTGACATATTAACTGTTTTGAAAGTTAGTATGCTGACAATTTAGCTGAATTGAAAGCTAGTATGTTGACAATTGAACTGTTTTGTAAGTTAGTATGCTGACAATTTAGCTGTTGAAAGCTAGTATGTTGACAATTTAGCTGTTTTGAAAGTTAGTATGCTGACAATTTAACTGTTTTGAAAGCTATTATGCTGACAGTTTAGCTGTTTTGAAAGTTAGTATGTTGACAATTTAGCTGTTTTAAGCTAGTATGCTGACAATTTAACTATTTTGAAAGCTAGTATGCTGACAATTTAACTGTTTTGAAAGCTATTATGCTGACAATTTAGCTGATTTGAAAGTTAGTATGTTGACAATTTAGCTGTTTTAAGCTAGTATGCTGACAATTTAACTGTTTTGAAAGCTAGTATGCTGAAAATTTAGCTATTTTGAAAGCTAGCATGCTGACAATTTAGCTGTTTTAAAAGTTAATATGCTGAAAATATAGCTGTTGAAAGCTAGTATGTTGACAATTTAGCTGTTTTGAAAGCTATTATGCTGACAATTTAGCTTTTTTGAAAGTTAGTATGCTGGCAATGTAGCTGTTTTAAAAGTTAGTATGCTGAAAATATAGCTGTTGAAAGCTAGTATGTTGACAATTTAGCTGTTTTGAAAGTTAGTATGTTGACAATTTAGCTGTTTTAAGCTAGTATGCTGACAATTTAACTATTTTGAAAGCTAGTATGCTGAAAATATAGCTGTTGAAAGCTAGTATGTTGACAATTTAGCTGTTTTGAAAGCTATTATGCTGACAATTTAGCTTTTTTGAAAGTTAGTATGCTGGCAATGTAGCTGTTTTAAAAGTTAGTATGCTGAAAATATAGCTGTTGAAAGCTAGTATGTTGACAATTTAGCTGTTTTGAAAGTTAGTATGTTGACAATTTAGCTGTTTTAAGCTAGTATGCTGACAATTTAACTATTTTGAAAGCTAGTATGCTGACAATTTAACTGTTTTGAAAGCTATTATGCTGACAATTTAGCTGATTTGAAAGTTAGTATGTTGACAATTTAGCTGTTTTAAGCTAGTATGCTGACAATTTAACTGTTTTGAAAGCTAGTATGCTGAAAATTTAGCTGTTATGAAAGCTAGCATGCTGACAATTTAGCTGTTTTAAAAGTTAGTATGCTGAAAATATAGCTGTTGAAAGCTAGTATGTTGACAATTTAGCTGTTTTGAAAGCTATTATGCTGACAATTTAGCTTTTTTGAAAGTTAGTATGCTGGCAATGTAGCTGTTTTGAAAGCTAGTAAGCTGAAAATTTAGCTGTTTTGAAAGCTAGCATGCTGTCAAATCATTTGTATTTCAAGTCAGTATATGCAAACAACTCAACTGTATGCTCGATTATATGCCAAAACAGCTTTCATAGGGCATAAAAGGCAAATCAGTGAGAAATATGATATGAAAGGATCAATCAAAACTCGGCATTTTTGAAAAGGGTAATAATATCAAGCCCTACCACTAGCACCAGCCCTACTAATAGCACCAGCCCAACCACCAGCCCTACCACTACCACCAGCCCTACCACTACCACCAGCCCTACCACTAGCCCTACCACTACCACCAGCCCTACCACCAGCCCTACCACTACCACCAGCCCTACCTCTAGCACCAGCCCTACCACTACCACCAGCCCTACCACTACCACCAGCCCTACCATCAGCCCTACCTCTAGCACCAGCCCTACCACTAGCCCTACCACTACCACCAGCCCTACCACTACCACCAGCCCTACCACCAGCCCTACCTCTAGCACCAGCCCTACCACTACCACCAGCCCTACCACTAGCCCTACCACTACCACCAGCCCTACCACTACCACCAGCCCTACCACTAGCACCAGCCCTACCACTAGCACCAGCCCAACCACTAGCACCAGCCCTACCACTAGCACCAGCCCTACCACTACCACCAGCCCTCCCTCTAGCACCAGCCCTACCACTACCACCAGCCCTACCACTAGCACCAGCCCTACAACTACCACCAGCCCTACCACTAGCACCAGCCCTACCACTACCACCAGCCCTACCACTAGCACCAGCCCTACCACTAGCACCAGCCCAACCACTACCACCAGCCCTACCACTACCACCAGCCCTACCACTACCACCAGCCCTACCATCAGCCCTACCACTAGCACCAGCCCTACCACTAGCCCTACCACTACCACCAGCCCTACCACTACCACCAGCCCTACCACTACCACCAGCCCTACCACTACCACCAGCCCTACCACTAGCACCAGCCCTACCACCAGCCCTACCACTAGCACCAGCCCTACCTCTACCACCAGCCCTACCTCTACCACCAGCCCTACCACTAGCACCAGCCCTACCACTAGCACCAGCCCAACCACTAGCATCAGCCCTACCACTACCACCAGCCCTACCTCTAGCACCAGCCCTACCACTAGCCCTACCACTACCACCAGCCCTACCACTACCACCAGCCCTACCACTACCACCAGCCCTACCACTACCACCAGCCCTACCTCTAGCACCAGCCCTACCACTAGCACCAGCCCTACCACCAGCCCTACCACTAGCACCAGCCCTACCTCTACCACCAGCCCTACCACTAGCACCAGCCCTACCACTACCACCAGCCCTACCACTAGCACCAGCCCTACCACTACCACCAGCCCTACCACTACCACCAGCCCTACTACTACCACCAGCCCTACCACTAGCACCAGCCCTACCACTAGCACCAGCCCCACCACTAGCACCAGCCCCACCACTAGCACCAGCCCTACCACTAGCACCAGCCCTACCACTAGCACCAGCCCCACCACTAGCACCAGCCCCACCACTACCACCAGCCCAACCACTACCACCAGCCCTACCACTACCACCAGCCCTACCACTACCACCAGCCCTACCACTACCACCAGCCCTACCACTACCACCAGCCCTACCACTACCACCAGCCCTACCACTAGCACCAGCCCTACCTCTAGCACCAGCCCTACCACTAGCACCAGCCCTACCACTACCACCAGCCCTACCACTAGCACCAGCCCTACCACTACCACCAGCCCTACCACTACCACCAGCCCTACCACTACCACCAGCCCTACCACTAGCACCAGCCCTACCACTAGCACCAGCCCCACCACTAGCACCAGCCCCACCACTAGCACCAGCCCTACCACTAGCACCAGCCCTACCACTAGCACCAGCCCCACCACTAGCACCAGCCCCACCACTACCACCAGCCCAACCACTACCACCAGCCCTACCACTACCACCAGCCCTACCACTACCACCAGCCCTACCACTAGCACCAGCCCTACCACTACCACCAGCCCTACCACTAGCCCTACCACTACCACCAGCCCTACCACTACCACCAGCCCTACCACTACCACCAGCCCTACCACTAGCCCTACCACTAGCACCAGCCCTACCACTAGCATCAGCTCTACCACTAGCACCATCACCAGCCCTACCACTACCACCAGCACCAGCCCTACCACTAGCACCAGCACCAGCCCTACCACTACCACCAGCACCAGCACCAGCACCAGCACCAGCACCCGCACCAGCCAATCACACAATTTGTACATAAAGTAAGTGTTTGTTTGTTGCCTGACACCTAACTTCAAATGAGCTGTGTGTGAAATTACCTAAGAAATCATTGAGACACAAGGACATGTTTATACTCATCTCCTCTGTCTTCAACAAAGTATTTAAACAAGCAGGTCATATAAATCCATTACATATCTAAATTTAAACCTGAAGAAATAGTCCTAGAGTAGATGGCAATTGGCCATACAAGGTGTCAGTATACAAGTGCCCACATTGCCTTGTAACTCAACTGAAAAGCCACAATGTACCAACCTATTTCAAGGGCCTTAGCAATAAAACTGTTAAATAGCAATGTTTAATACACCAAAGCAAGGATAACCCCCTGTGTTTTGCCTTCAGTCAGTAGCTACACCTGGTTAAGACAGACAGAACCGAGTCCACTAAAGGAATAACCATTTGATATTCTGGGGGGAGATTGTTTTTTTTTAACAAAATACATTTCTTCTTGAATATGCTGAAAATAAATGCCCGTTCCGAATATTAAATTGATGTTTCCTATCAAAAGCTTCGTGGGTTGTGTCTATGTTTAACATACTGACATTCACCATACTACAATATGTATGTAGAGGCAAAGGTGTTAGCATAAATTATTTACAATCATTTGTCGTGAAGGGTTTAATCTGCTCTTTTCAAATGGCAGCTTGCGGGTTAACATATACAAGTCCATCACTAGCTCGTTACTTACCCTTATCTGGGCACGCGCTGATTCTACACCTCCAGGCTGACCTGCTATAGACACCTGAAACATAGATATACAACACTGTAACATTGGTATATATGTACCTGCACACATATATATATAAATATAACATACCTATGTAAAACTGGCATTATTACAAGCAGACATGCTCGCACGCATGTTGCTATATAAGTAAAATCTTGAATGCAATGTTAAACCCAGCTTACCTCACACACAGGCATTATTTGCATGCATTATTTGACCATTGTACACATACCAGCTACAGACAGATTATATTTGTATTTGAGCTAAAAACACCAGAAAGGCATACATACCAGCAAAAAAGCTGATATTTGCTGTAAATTCTACATGCTGCTTTTAGCACTATTCCAGTCATATAAACCAAACCTGGTTCTTCGGAAAGAAGAGCAATCACTTTAACCACTCGGCTTCCCCACTATTCCTGATATTTGTTTAAGTATATAGACCTGTTATAAAGAATAAACCACTTAAAGATTACACATACAATTTCTGAAAGAAATACTGATGCTTCCTACAGTATGCCCGATATAAACATATATATTTTTACCTGCAAAAGATTTTGTTTGCTTGTATAATGCACCATAATGCAATGTTCCAGCCATGATTTTTATATAATGTAAACATAAACAGAAAATAATGTAGTCTGGATCAGACAACAAACCGGTCATTGATATACCAGTAACGTCCCACACACTCAGTGACAAGAAATTCAGCAAGTATTTTTTTTATTTTGTTTCAGCAAAATCAGCCCAAAGACATAACTTTGTTTAACTTGGCATATATAACATTAACAAATTGTCACTTGGCTTAAAATTCCATGTTAACATACATATGATAGAGATTGTTGTTAGGTAAAACGTGATACAAAGCTATAATGTGCTGACAGACAACTAGTAAGGAGAAATGAGACATAAACAATGACCTAATGCTTAGAATGAACATAATCTATCAGGGTATTGCTAAATTGTGAGTCGTGAGTTTGTTCTTCAATTTTTCAAATTTATCTTTCACATCAGCTACTTGCTTTCAAACTGGTTACTGTAGATGAATATGTTACATTTTATCATTAATCTCCATCAGATTTAACTCCAACATAAAGGTCTTTCTGTCATTTGTTTCCCCAACTGTCCTGTCCACTTATCTTGATCAAGGTGAGGTGAGGTGAGGTGAGGTGAGGTGAGGTGAGGTGAAGTGAGGTGAGATGAATGGGGTTTAACATCGCACCAAGATTATTGCACTTATATAGTAACGTGCATCAACGTGTGTGTGGCTGCTTGTACTAGCTCGGACTGATGCTGATTTATAATGCTAGCACACTGAGATACCATGCCGCAATTTAACATGAACACCCCACTCAGACACAGTAAACTGAATCCGAGCCAACCAGTCCCCTTAATGCCGAGCGCCGGACAGGGTAACAAGTACCATCTTTTAACTTCTTTTGGTATGATGTGGCCGGGGATCGAACCACCAATCTTCTACTCTCCAGACAGACACTCTATCCACTCAACCACAGAGGCAATGCATGAATAAGTACCTTATTCGACGTAATAAGCACCTGGTTCTAATAAGCGCCCACGGCGATATATATACTAATATGGTCAGGTCAGTGGTTCATAGTTCATAGTTCGTAGATTATCTTGATGAAACCTGTTTCCTGTATTGTATGCATAATGCATAAATAGTCCCAATGAACAATGCACAGAATGAAATCTTCCAACTTTTTATAAAAAATTTCAAGTCATGACTCTCAAATTGCAAGTCACAATCCACAATCTCAATCTATCAGACTGATTGTATGCTAGATACAAGCTTCCTTCCTTCCATGACTACTGGACATAAATATAAATGCAGAGCCCCATCAGAGCCTGGGAATCCTTGTGTAACCTGCAAGTTGAACAAGCAGGTATACTGATGAAAAGATGCCATGTTTATAGCAGGTAATCAAGATGGGGCCTGTCAGCATCATCTCCACTGCTTATCGACATTCACAACTTGTTTACTTTCACACACACTACAGAGCTGTTCACATTTTTCTATCATGTCTGAAGAAATAACGATTTGTGATCTGGAGTTATCCCGTGTCATTTTTCTGTAACATGTTTATGGCTCATTGCCGGCCAGTAGACAGCCCCATTGTGGGTGCACATTCCTCTGTACAGAGCCTCCTCTGTGGAGTTGCAAGGTGGAGGACCTTCACTACCAGCACATCTCCTATACAGACATGTTCAGCATATCTGAATAAAACACTGCTGATATAAGTGAGGTGAGGTATATAACGACGTGCAAACTCGTGTGTGCTTGTGGCTGCTTGTACTAGTCTGAATTAGTGCCGATTTTATAGCGCTAGCCCACTGAGATACCATGCAGCAGTTTAGCATGAATACCCCACTAAGACACAGTATACTGACTCCGAGCTGACCAGTCCTTGTTTTAGCCCCTTAATGCCGAGCGCCAGGCAGGGTAACAACAAGTACCACCTTTTAACGTCTTTCGGTATGACGTGACCGGGGATTGAGCCTCGGCCTTCAGCTCTCCGGGTGACCGCTCTGCCACTAGACCACAGAGGCAGCCTGCTGATATAGGACAACCACTCCTCAACCACTGGATATAGTCAATGCATGATATTCCACACAAATAATAACCATTATCAGTCTTGTCCCTGTTGCTCTACTCTACATACTCCAATCTGCAACTTAATCCACTTGCCTGAAGCCTGAGTCTAGTAAAATTCTGTCTGGTCCAGTAAGTTCAGAAATATTAGTCCACATATAATAACACTAACATTGACTGAAAATGATGCTGCGGGCCAAATTCGGACTTGCAGCCTCAAACATTTTTGGGACAGACTGCATACCCTAGTCAGTATTTACACTAAACTTACCACATATAGCACAATGCTCAGACATTCATACCCCATCTCATTGACATGTCACTTCTACAAATCTCTCTGATCTTGTGTGATGCTGGGAAGAACACAACCATCTACCCATTACACAAACTCAAATCTCTAACCCCAATACCCCTCCCCTGTGCAATGCCTCCTATTGTCAATACAAGAGGGGTTAACATCATGCCATCCATCCCCACCCACTGCATTATCAGTTTATCCATGTCCCTCTTGAGCATCTTTAACCCTCACCCTATGACCTGCCCCCTCATAAAACTCCTTTGGGTTTTTTCTGCATGACATCTCTGTTTCAACGTGGCCAATGGAAGAGACTCCTGAATGTCAGCTGGTTATATCCACCAACAAATCTAATTGGCCTTTTCTATATGAACTGATGTACCTGATTGCTCTTCTCAATATACACCAACATACCTGATTGCTCTTCTCAATATACACCAACATACCTGATTGCTCTTCTCTAAATACACCAACATACCTGATTGCTCTTCTCAATATACATACACCAACATACCTGATTGCTCTTCTCTAAATACACCAACATTCCTGATTGCTCTTCTCTAAATACACCAACATTCCTGATTGCTCTTCTCTATATACACCGACATACCTGATTGCTCTTCTCAACATACACCAACATACCTGATTCTTCTTCTCTGTATACACCAACATACCTGATTCTTCTTCTCTATATACACCAACATACCTGATTGCTCTTCTCTATATACACCAACATACCTGACTGCTCTTCTCTATATACACCGACATACCTGATTGCTCTTCTCTCTATACACCAACATACCTGATTGCTCTTCTCTATACACACCGACATACCTGATTGCTCTTCTCTATATACACCGACATACCTGATTGCTCTTCTCTACATACACCGACATACCTGATTGCTCTTCTCCTGGACACTGCTGCCTCTATTGGAATCAGGGAAGTGGATGTGACAACCGGTATCCTGCATCACCTTCTTGATGTTGTTGCCTCCCTTGCCGATGACATGGGAGTGCTCCGTGTGTGACACATCCATCTTCAGTGTCACACGGTTGCTCTGAAACAGTGAAAACAAAATTCTGTATCTATCCCTTGTCAGTCGTTCCATTTGGGATTCCAGGCAGAACTTGAGCCAGCAACCCATGTCTTTCATAAGAGACCAGTAAAAATTACCAATTCAATATAAAAATTACCTATACAACATCAACTTTCCTATACAAGAGATGCATATACTTATATATAATTTTGTGTACACATATGCACTGGTTATAACTTATTGTTTCATATTTCCTGTGCATGAGACCCATGAAGATCCAGATTAGAAAAGGTCTTCAGCAACCCATGCTTGCCGTAAAAGGCAACTATGCTTGTCGTAAGAGGCGACTTACGGGATCGAGTGGTCAGGCTCGCTGACTTGATTGGTGCATGTCATCGTATCCCAATTGTGTGGATCAATGCTCATGATATCAATCACTGGATTGTCTAGTCCATACTCGATTAATTAGAGACCACCGGCATATAGCTGGAATATTCCTGAGTGGGCGTTAAACAACAAACAAACCTGTGCACGATGCATAGGACCATGTGCCACAAATCATTGCTAGCAATCACTGATTTACCAGACTGTTATTGATAAACTGTTATGACCTTGAAGATACAGCTGACCTTGTTACCACAGAGTAAACTAACAATCACCATACTTAAGAAAACAATTCTTTGTTTACTTCTTATTTGACAAAAACCAAACGATGATGAACTTGTTTCCTTCTTGAAAACAGAAACAGAGTGAGTGAGTGAGTATGGTTTTACGCCGCTTTTAGCAATATTCCAGCAATATCACGGCAGGGGACACCAGAAATGGACTTCACACATTGTACCCATGTCGGGAATCGAACCCGGGTCTTCGGCGTGACGTGCCACTAGGCTACTTGACCGCCCCAACAGAAACAGCTCAGGTCGTTAGTATTAATCACTTATATGTATTTGGTGTCACAACTGTGTTATAGTTGTAGATGAACTCACAGATTTATGAGTTAGTGATTACCTGCACAATTAAGTATATATTCAAATATATATCAACTAAATATCTTATGTTATAACCTACTTGTACAGTTATAGCAAGTACATGTGAATGTATGTCCGTAAGTTTGATGTGAGTGCTAGATGTATCTGGGTAAGTGCAGGTGTACGAGCACTGTATGGACGGAGAGGGAGACGACGCCATCTTTGAAGAGCCGCAAGAAACACCAACACTCACTTATACTCATGTATCATGAAGAGCCAATAAACTATTTCTCTAGTAGAAGTAAGTAACTATTTACTAGTGGAGTGTGACTACAACTAAGTGCTGGAGGAGAACAGTACATAGGACGTTGTGAGGATTTTCCCACCTATATCGCACGAGTTGTAGTCTATGGGTGATATTAGGGGAACAACTAATTATTATATAGTTGACAGTGAAGAGGACTTCTGTTGAAAATCTGAAAGATTAGTTTAGTGTGATTGCAGCAAAAATAAAGTACTAATGGCAATAACATAATAGAGGTAGAGGATTCATTATAGAGTTTTCTGCATACTTAATTATTCCTTATGCAGATGTGTCATGGCGACGTAATTGTTATAATTCCTAACGTACGTACGTATGTATGTATGTATGTATGTATGTACATGTTGTATGTATGTTCTTTATAACCATATAATTGTAATAATATGTTTTGTATCCATGTATCTTGATGTATGGTACAGATATGTGCATTACTAGATGGATGTAATATAAGTGCTATCTATTAATAAAAGTGAAATGCTTATTTTACAAAATTTAAAGAATAACTGTCACAGATTGTACATATTTATTAGATTCTATTATATATTTTCTTAAGTTGTAATTCCATTGTTTAAGGTTGACGTACAAACAAACATACCTATTGGCTACCCCTACCGGCCAAAACTTAGCACTGTTACATTTGTTTATACATCAAATGTAACTTTTTATGTCTTCTTAATCAAATCCTTTCTATTTTCACAGGTTCAAACACAGGATAATTGCTATGACTTTAACTGCATGTACCCCCCAGGTGCAACACAGCCAGTTACAGAGCTCCATTTAATACATATCTCCAGCGCCAATTATTGACCCAAATGATCATATGTAGTAAACACCCTGTACAAAAGATTGAAAAGAAAAATGAACGGCAAAGAAGTTTTTGACGCGATCTAGGACAAGGTGTGACGAGCGAGGAAATGAAAAGGATATATTCCCAGTTCAGCCATAAAGGAGTCACGGGCTGTGTAGAGTTATAAGCGGAATAATGGCCCGTTAGTACACCCAACTTTGTCTGTGGTAGGCTAATACTTCGCTTCTTCCACTGCTTGCAACTTAACAAAGCCTGTCATACCTTCGTGTCTGTATTGCCTCTGTTCAATGATAACAGGCAGCGTCATTCACAAGCACAGAGACACATTACTGACCCTATAGAAGTATTACCAGCATAGTGTGCAAAACCAGCCTTCATATTCATTGCAAGTTTCAGAGTGTTTTGTTTTGCTTCAACAAGTACATACAACCTGGAATTATCAAACGGAATCATAAAAGTTTCGTGATATCGAGAAGTAATTCTATGGCCTCTTTTCTTACTTAGTCTGTTTACCTATGTTCCCTCAGAGCATAGATTTGTGATCCAAATCTAAAAAGAATTTTCATTTATTTACATTTTTTAATTTTTTTTTAACAGTTGACAGGGTAGGGGGGTGGGGGGCAGAGTACATGTCAAAGAATTACTTTGCTTCCTATACTGATGTACAACTGAGGTTTTTTTCTTTTCTGACTCAATGGTAAAAAAAAGAATGCTCAAACTATAAAATTTATCTAACATTTGAAAAACTTTGGAATGGTGACTCCGTAAAACAAGTCTCTACAAACATGTGCCTAATTTGTTATTTCTATTCCGATCATTGATGCATTATTCTGTCATAAACATAATTAGAAAACTTTCTATTTTGAAAACTACAGTTCCACTGGTAACATGTCTACAGTAAGAAGGTACACAATCAGATGCCTCCAGTCCTCCAGATTCCAGTCGCTCAGGATAGAGATCACTCCCAAATATCATCTCACCTTGATAGTCCAAGTCATTTTCATTTTATTGGGGAACCAACTTGTAGGGTCCCACAAAAGGGAGGGTTTCAAACACTGGCACACACATCCACAGAGAAGGTAGGTATATCCTTATCCAAAGAAGCAGGTGTATCCAAATGAGTACAATCTCCACCTCTTTCTTCCTTGTTTGGAAATAAATATTTCCCTCCCAACAGGTAATATCCAATATGGTAGATGGTCAGGCAGCACAATATCCTATGTGATCTACAGTTCGGTCCAATCTCACTCAAAAAACCAGGTGAAATACACACTTGTCAATATCATTCCCCTTCAGACATGTCCATGTCTCTTCCTGAGTGGCGGCTGACATATCAAGGCACACCACATTCTATTGTGTGTATTGGACAATCAGTGCTCCTCATGAAAATACAGAACTCTCCCCACACAAACACAGCGTTGTGAATCCACTTCAACACGGCTACTCACACACAACAATCACAAAGCTTTACACAATCGCAATCAAGCTGCCTTCTCCGACTTATCCAACACAGGTATGCCGAACACACCTTTCAGCTTTCGACAAAATATATTCTATAGTCCCAAGGAGATTAATCTTACATTTAGTTTGATTCGGCCATTCAAAAACCATGGTTGGAAGTGTGCGTTAGTTTACCCTGTCACAACATGGTCCATTCTTATCTGTGATTTCACATATCTCAATGCTTGGCTGGTTGACTAGAGGTCCTGTTAGTCAGCAGGAAACACCAGTAACATAGGCTGACACCTCTAGTCCACTCCACATTGACACGAAAAAGCACAACTTGTACAAAGCCGGACAAGCCTTCAATTAAACACTGGTAACATGTCTATTCAAGTTGTAAATATCTCACAGGTGTGTGGAGTTACAATGTGTCACATTTATTGGGGGTTTAATGTTTGAATCAGCAAGACATTTCTAACATGTGACCTAACACTGGATAATATATATATATATATATATATATATATATATATATATATATATATATATATATATATATATATATATATATGGCAGGAATGTTCCTCTTGTCTATGTTTACTTTCTATAGGTTCTGAAATGTTGAGTTGACAAGGGGTTGTAGTATCACCATATTTGAACATGTTCAACTAGCACAGTTGATGTTTTCATAGTGTTATCTATTATGATGCTCATCATTTTAATCTATATGAGATCCTCTAAAATCATCATATGATAATACTTTTTTATACCAATGTTGTGCTTGGCAGCTGCTACAGGTAGGGCAGGACATGCTCCCCCTTTCTGCAAACACCTGGTGTCATCACAGGTTGTCAGTGATCCATTCATATAATTTTCATTGCTATTTTGTCTTTTGGTTTGTTTAATTAAACAAAATAACAAAAAGTAAAAATAAGCACTGTGTTCAAATGAATAAAAACATAGCTTTTCATACACTCTTTATACAATGCTTTTGATATATAAATACAATGCTTTTGATTTATAAATACAATGCTTTTAAATCAATAAGTACAATGCTTTTGATAAATAAGTACAATGCTTTTGATTAATAAATACAATGCTTCCCGATAAATATCACAACAGGCCTACAAACAGATGATCTTATAATTCTTAACTGTCTACAAATGATTTCTTGATAAAACCTCTTTCAACAACAGATGTTCAAATATCTGATCTTTTCTGTCAAACAGTGTGAAAAAAACTCACTCGCTGACTCACTCATGTGAGCGGGTCATTTCATGACCCCCCTGCCATGCATGTCAGGGGTGCATTACATCAAAGCATGCTCAAAGGATATTGTTGCAATTGTCAGACCAAAGATCATCATTCTAGATTATCAGCAATCTGGAGAACAAGCTCAAGCCATGAACTGCTGACAAAGCCAGACTTGCTGTGTCACAGAGTCAGTGCTGGTCTCCACACAATACACTATTGCCAATATTAACTATCAAAGATTTCATGGGCCATAACTTTTTGATCCCCTATGGAGGAAAAAAACCCTTCTCGTATAGCATATCTTGATCACATATTTCAGTGCACTTAACAGTGTACATTACAGGTTGCCAAATAGGCCTAATAGAGTTTTGATGTTTCATGTAAATGCTGCTCTATTAAACACTGTGATTTAAGGATTCATACTTCACCAAGACCAGATGTACAATCCTGAACACTGATAACACATGAGAACACCACCCTTAAAACTGATGAAATTCAACAAATCTTGATTTTCTACTTTGTTGAGTTTATAGTTCTAACATTGGACACTGAGTGAGTGAGTGAGTGAGTGAGTGAGTGAGTGAGTGAGTGAGTGAGTGAGTGAGTGAGTGAGTGAGTGAGTGAGTGAGTGAGTGAGTGAGTATATTTAATGCTGCTATCAGCAATATTCCAGTAATGTCATGGCTGGGGGCCCCAGAGCTTCAACCATTGTACCCACATGGGAAATCAAACCCAGGCCTTCAGTTTGACAAGCTACCCCACTACCCCTATTGGCCATGAAAGCACGCTAGGGCGAAATCAGTTTTTGAGTAAGACATTTGGGGAGCAGCATCGCTTGTACAGAATGATGAGGAGGATCAAAGTCATGTTTTGTTACGTTCCAATTTGGAGTAAAGGACAACTGAGGATGCCAACAGACATGGGAGATACCTCTGCACATCAGTGTGTTTCACGTTAGACCATTGAGCAACACATCCCCAATCAAGGTAAAACAAATGTTACGTGGACCCTATGCAATAAAACTGCCCCTGAAGTTTAACGATTTAGGACATCTGGGGACACAAAGGCAAACGATGCATAACGTTTAATATGGAAAAAGCCTTTTATGTTATATTAGTTTATTTACTAAATGTTTGGTCGGGATAAAGAGGAACAAAGTTTCAACTCTAGATTAGTACTGCTACTAATGAATGAAAAACAAACAAGTTTTGATATGGCAAGATGCCAAAAGGTAATCGATTCGGTTTTATTTCTTAGAATAAAGATTTTTATATATATTATTCACCATTTCATATGAACAGTGGTGATACAATCTGTATTTTCTTTTCCTCTTGTAAAACAGAGTAAGCCACAAAAACGGCTCAAAAGTCATTGTATTACTTGGGGGTCTACTTTCAGTTTGGTTTCTTGTCGGTCAGTCTCATAAACCAACTTAAAATATATATATAAGGCCTAAAGTCACTTTATACAAAATCTTACTCAAATAACATTATTTTATTTCTTTAATTTCTTCTATAACCAGTCAGTGAGACAAAATCATTTTGTTTTCCAAACTCATAGCCTTTCAAACTACCTCCAGAAATGAACTCCACATGACGACTCTACCAAGGCAACTGTTCAGAATCAAGCCTTGTGGCCCCTCAAACTCTGAATGCTGATTTTCACTTTCACTCCAAGGCTGCATAACAAAATATACAATATCTAATATCATACCAAATCCACAAGTCAATGACATCAGATGAAATGTAAAATACATGTATACTAGAGTGTAGACTTCAGCAAGATGTAACCGACCCCCAGAGTCTAGGCACAAGACAAACACCAAGTATTTGGTTATGTGAGCACAGGCTGGGAAACAATGCTACAAGCCTTATGGAGGGCAACTTTAATGTTTATACAGGTAATACTCCACATTGGCAGACAATCAAAACAAGCCTGGCTCATACATATGCTATTTCATCAGTGGACTATTCGAGAGTATGGCTGGTCAAATTTCTTAGGTTTTAAGAAAACGAGAACTATAATGACAGTGATTGAGCATTGAAGTGCTGTATTTTCTGTTGTCATGTATAAGCGTGCTTTATCTTGATCCAGTCTTACAAACACAGGCAGCTATGACTTGCGGAATATGATATACGCACTTCTGATTTCATTGTTCAGGTTATCCTGAAGAACAACCCTTTACAGTTTAGTTTTCATGTGTGTTTGTTGTTTTACGCTGCACTCAGCAATATTTCAGCTATATGATGGTAGCCTGTAAATAGTCGAGTCTGGACCAGACAATCCAGCGATTGATATCATGAGCATCGATCCACGCAACTGAGATACGATGACATGCATTACCAAGGTAGCGAGCCTGACCACCATGTTAGTCGCCGCTTACGAATTATCATTATGTACAGATTAAAATAAAAAATGCAGCAAAGAGGGTTTGTTTGTTTGTCTGTCTGTTGTTTAACGCTGCACTCAGCAATATTGCAGCTATATGATGGTAGCCTGTAAATAATCAGGTCTGGACCAGACAATCCAGTGATGTCAGGATACAATGACGCTAACCAAGTCGCCAAGCCTGACCACCCGATTCCTTATGTCGCCTTTTACTACCAGCATAGGCTGCTGGTGACCAATTCTAACCCAGAATCCTCACAGGGTCATTTCATGTATAGCTGAATCAACTTCATTTAATAATCTGTACTTATGATCATATATACTGAACTAAAACAGTTAGGGATCATGAATATTTTTTGGGATATTTGTTTGTATTGAAGACTGAGCACACAATTTAAAAACAATATCCAAAAAAGTATTTTATGGTCCCTACGGGGTTTTTTCAGGAACTGTCCCTGCACAGATATTGCAAACAAAAAGGAAAAGCATTTCTTCCATTAATTTATAATGAACATTGGAATATTTTTTTGATAAGGTGTTAATTAAGTGCTGAGAGTGTTAGGTTTCGTTATATTTTAGGAAAGCAGAATTTAATGAATGTTATTCACATTTCAAGATCAGATAATAAGGTGTTGAAATTGACATAAATTGTTTGAGATTCCTTATCATCTAGGCAACGCATAAGCCTCAAGTGCAATTCAGTAATTCAATCAATGACACTTGACATCAACAAAACACACCTCCTATCAATTTCTGTCTAAGGCACAACAATGACAAAGTTCACTCTGACATACTATGACCTTAAGCATGTTAAACTGGGATCGGCGTTTATCTGATAGACCTGGTAGTAATATTACCTGGTATGAAATTGACGAGAAACACCTTGCAATTTTCTATCATCTTGCACTTGTAATCCTATCAACAGAACCTAATTTCAGTATACAGCTGTTTTTAGCAGTGTAATCCACCCTGACTCTTTTTATAATCATTGAGATCTATCTGTGACAGCATAATGAGATTTGTGTCAGAGCAGGTCAAACTGTACCCAGATAAATGGGTTTAATATATCGTAATATATTCATACCTGTTCAAACAATCTTTTTGGGGGTCTTTATCATGAAGGTGCATGCAACTTCAAAGTAAAATGCAGCTGTGATTCATTGCATGATATCAATTAGACATCAAAGGTAAGAACTGACAAGCTGATATATTTGATAATGAAAGATGATTTGTGGGTAGCCATGTCATATATTACTCTTGGATCATATGGTATTGTTATTACCTATGCATCCATTAAATAATAACAACAACAACAACAATAATAATAATAATGGAATAGGCCTGTATACAGCCTCAGACATGATTTTGTTCTTTTTTGATAAATCCAATGAAATCTTTATATTGTTGAATTTTTTGTCCCTTTGGTCACTAATGTGATTGACAAGATTCAGGAAAAACATGGCAAATACGCAGACCTCGCTTTCGAAATGTCACGCTTACATACCAAGTACCAAGTTGTCAAACTCCCAATTGTTCTTGGTGGCTTAGGTTTGGTATCTCCCAATCTGTTGAGTGACATCGGGAGAGTACCCGGGTTTGCTACAAGGAAAACTGCACTTCTGGCAATCTGGGTAATGCAGAAAGGCTGCAGTGTTGGGGAGTC